GTCTTGCTACTAAAGGAAAGACAGTGACTGATAATTGTTCCGGCTGAACAGCTGGCAGTCTTGCTACTAAAGGAAAGACAGTGGCTGATAATTGTTCCGGCTGAACAGCTGGCAGTCTTGCTACTAAAGGAAAGACAGTGACTGATAATTGTTCCGGCTGAACAGCTGGCAGTCTTGCTACTAAAGGAAAGACAGTGACTGATAATTGTTCCGGCTGAACAGCTGGCAGTCTTGCTACTAAAGGAAAGACAGTGACTGATAATTGTTCCGGCTGAACAGCTGGCAGTCTTGCTACTAAAGGAAAGACAGTGACTGATAATTGTTCCGGCTGAACAGCTGGCAGTCTTGCTACTAAAGGAAAGACAGTGACTGATAATTGTTCCGGCTGAACAGCTGGCAGTCTTGGGAAAATTTGAGAGTCTTACAAGCAGGGCTGTGATTCCCAGACAACCTTGTGCCCCCTTCAATTCGGAAACCTTGACGATCACTGTCAGGACAGATCAAAAGGGGATCCATGGCCCCAGGCTCATTCCAGTCTCGGTCTATGTGTCCATAGAAGAGAAAATATACATCATAGAATTTGAGTTAGATGGCAAAGAAATTGGATTTGGCGAGTCTTGAATCTTCTTCAGGGTTGTCAGTGTCACTCCTCCTCCCCACTTTTGTATTACTATTCAACATCCTCATTCATCTTGGGGGATGGACATCAGTTCATGGATTTTGTTATCAGTTATTTTCCTGGGCATATCTATAATACATCTATAATTTCAAACAATAAATATCCTACATACCGTAACCTATGACATTTTATGTATTATATCATCAAATCTGTAATATTGATATTGTTGTACAAGAATGTCTTTGTGTTTACAGCTGTGTATGTTTCTATGTCTACAGGTGTATGTGTATGTATGTTTCTATGTCTACAGGTATATGTGTATGTATGTTTCTATGTCTACAGGTATATGTGTATATAATGTCTACAGGTGTGTGTGTGTGTGTGTGTGTGTGTGTGTGTGTGTGTGTGTGTGTGTGTGTGTGTGTGTGTGTGTGTGTATGTATGTCTACAGGTATATGTGTATGTATGTATGTATGTATGTATGTCTACAGGTATATGTGTATATAATGTCTACAGGTGTGTGTGTGTGTGTGTGTGTGTGTGTGTGTGTGTGTGTGTGTGTGTGTGTGTGTGTGTGTGTGTGTGTGTGTGTGTATGTATGTCTACAGGTATATGTGTATATAATGTCTACAGGTGTGTGTGTGTGTGTGTGTGTCTACAGGTATATGTGTGTATAATGTCTACAGGTGTGTGTGTGTGTGTGTGTGTGTGTGTGTGTGTGTGTGTGTGTGTGTGTGTGTGTGTGTGTGTGTGTGTGTGTGTGTGTGTGTGTCTACAGGTATATGTGTATGTATTAAGCATACTGAGTTTTTTCATTTAAATGGTTTTCTGCAATAAATATTATCATATCTGATCTTATCTTATCCTATCACTATAACATATTTGAGATATAAGGGTACATTTGAAACCTAGCCAATGTACTGTGTTCATTACTCTTACATACATAATATACACAGTACAATAACTACATTATACAATACCGGTACATATTGCAATAAACACTCCCTGACTTTAACACAAAAACACTACCACATGCTTGACTCAATACAATATTGACCAGTGAAATAGATACTTGATATCCCCACAAAAACATCCATCACAATAGAGAGACAAAACCTACACTATGAAAAATATTTGTTTTCCTTGTCGTAACATAACCATTACTTTCAATCAATTAACAACACTGTTTGCTCAATCATTTGAAACTAACAAGTCGAAATCTCGTTCAACACCTTGTCAATTGCAGTCTGACAAATATTCCTGCTGCACAACACAACCATTTATCAATATGCTGTTCCATTTCACACACACAAGTTGAACAAAGTGTCTTTTGAATTGCCGAGATGATATCTCCGTCAAGGACAACCTGCACACAGAGCTGTATGTTCGCCTTTCAAGGCAGAGACACAACTAAAGAGACTCGCCACTCAAGCACGAGGAGGCGTTGCTTATATAGTCAACATGACAGCTATGACAAGAACTATCTGATACCGCTCAATGCACCATGCAATCATATGCTCTATAGGGAAAAGTGTGCTTACATTGTATCCACTTCAGAAAATGAAAAAACGTAATAAAGAAAACCCATAAACCAATCTTAATTCTACATTAGTTTGCACATATCTACAATAGATAAATGTCATATTATATATTTGTAAACTCACACAGTGCAGGGCCTCGTTTCACAAAGCGATCTTAGGGCTACAACTATATTAACGTATGCTACATTCACCTTAGTGCTAAGACAGGTTTCCGGAATGGGGAGGGCCCTTCCCTGTTAAAATGGAAACCTTTCTTTCTGGACGATTCTGTTAAAAACATCTGCATCTACACACACCTGACGTCATCACTGCAACAATGATTCACTGACGGGAACTTTTGTAACTTGGGTGATTCCTTCTGCCCGAACTAACCGTGTAGTTCACTGAGTACATTTATTTACCACATTGTCAAACAAGACAGCCCACAGTTTGTTAGTGTGAGAAAGCTAGCCATGTATTTTAGCATTTTTCAGTATTGTTGTGCCTTTGTATAAAGTGATTTTACCAGACCAGAAGAACATATGCTCAACTTCGGCTGCAGAACTCCAGACTGCTATGTTTTGACTCCAGACTGCTATGTTTTGACTCCAGACTGCTATGTTGTGACTCCAGACTGCTATGTTTTGACTCCAGACTGCTATGTTGTGACTCCAGACTGCTATGTTTTGACTCCAGACTGCTATGTTGTGACTCCAGACTGCTATGTTGTGACTCCAGACTGCTATGTTGTGACTCCAGACTGCTATGTTGTGACTCCAGACTGCTATGTTGTGACTCCAGACTGCTATGTTTTGACTCCAGACTGCTATGTTTTGACTCCAGACTGCTATGTTGTGACTCCAGACTGCTATGTTGTGACTCCAGACTGCTATGTTGTGACTCCAGACTGCTATGTTGTGACTCCAGACTGCTATGTTGTGACAATGCAGTAAGTGCCCAGTTTGATAATAGGTCACAGGCTCTTGTTTGTAAGAAAAGTATCGCTAGTTCTACAATAGTTGGCAAAGGTTGGTGTCAGGAACCAGTGTTCCGCAACAGCTGCTGTTATCACATGTAATTCTTTATTTGCAATATCTGTATATGGAAAACTAATATTTATTTGTTTGTTTGTTCGTTCGTTTAATGCTGCAATATTCCAGCAATATTGCGCAGACTGCAACTAATTCAAGTCTGGATCAGACAATCCAGTGATGGACATCATGAGTGTCGATCTATGTAAATGGGATATGAAGACATGCATCAACCAAGTCAGCGAGTCCGACCACCCGATCCCGTTAGTTATCTCTTATGACAAACATGGGTTGTTGAAAAAGTCTTCAACCACAAAATGTCACAAGAAGCATGACAAACTTAACATACACACACTCAGTGAGTGAGTGAGTGAGTGAGTTTGGTTTTATGCCACTTTTAGCAATATTGCAGCAATATCACGACGGGTACACCAGAAATGGGCTTCATTGTACCCATGTGGGGAATCGACCCCGTGACTTCGGCACCACTAGTGTCTTAAACCACTAGGCTCCCCCCCACACACTACTCAGACAATTCTCACTAATCTTAAAGAGTATCCATTCTAGAGTATACTCATATTATTACTTATCATCCTATTCAATTGTCAGAAGTAATCAAATATGCCTCTTGGCAAGGACCGAATAGCTTATTATAACTTTAGTGGGTACATTATCATAGTAACAATGTCTGCCGGGGGGCCTCGTCTAAGGGAGCTAACTCACATGATGTGTAAAACAGCAAAGACAATTCTCGTTCGACGGAAATATTTTTTGCCTATTATGTCATTATTTTAAAAATCCTTGTACCAAATTCCACAATATCAAGACATTAGCCTGTAAATAAACAGTAATTTTCAATCAGAAAGATTTTATAATTTTGGATAAGCACTATTAATTCCATCCAAGCTACAAATATTTCAGACATCAGAGAATTGAAAAATAAGTTAATGCCATTTGTTCAAAACATGTAAGTGCACATATAGGAAGCTTAACCAATTAACTTCACGAGCTCCAAACTGCTCCTCATCAGTGCAAGGAGAATGATGACATTTTGGGGACGGACTTACTCAGCATCTGTCAAAGTAGAAATTTTAACAGCAATCAATAAGCTCTTTCAAAGACTTACAAATGGCAGTTTTTCAAAATGTCTTTCCTTCAACCACATGGCTCACAGTCTCACATATCCCACCAGTTGCTTAGCCTTACAAAAAACAACAGCGGTAAAAGGAAGTGAATTTCTTTTTTTAAAAGGCTACTCAACAAGTGTCACATGCCAGGCAAGTTGCCTTTTCAACAAGAACTAACAAGCACCGCATCGCAGTGAGCAGCGTTCACTTACATATTCATGGAAAAAAATAAGGGAACAAAGTGACACCAGTTGCTTTCCCTTGTCATGGCAGGATCTGCTACTCATGGATACCCAGATTCACCCTTATTATGATCCTTGGTCTGTCTGTAACACAATCGCGCTGTGGGTTTCATCAAAGTTGTCTTTTCTCCCACATAAAACAGAACATAACTGAAAGTCTTTTCAAAGCCACCTAACTCACTCAATTGTCATATTGAATTATAACCAAAAATAATACCTTGCTGATCACCACCAGACTACAAGGAAAATGCCATCACATAATTACCAAATTTCATTTCCTAGATACATTAATCAGAATTTGATATGTATGCTCTAATGCACCATTCGAAACTGCATAAAAATATGTGTGAAAGTATTGTGCAACCACATCGATTGAAGCTTTGTTGACATTTTCCGCCGAACCTTTCCTTTATATGCATTGGTGGTTAAGTATCATTGGGTATTACAAGCCAGCCAGCCAACTGGAAAACATTCCCAGATGTGTCCGGGCTACGCTATGTGCAAGTGAAATATCTACAGAACTGGTGCCAGATGCTGAAAGCACATATTGATTGTGGCTTGGTAAGTAAGACATGAAGCGATTAACATTATTTCCTAATCTCTATCATTTCCAATGAAATGCAATTATTATTATATAATGAGGTGTGACTTTAAATGTGAACTGCAGTCAGCAAAATAACTGATAGAGTGAGTGAGTGTGACGTCAAGTGAGTGAGTGAGTGAGTGAGTTAGGTTTAATGCCACAATTAGCAATATACTAGCAATATCACTTAGGGAGACACCAGACATGGGCTTCAGAAATTGCTCTCAGAATAGAAACCCGACCACTTGACAGCGAAGATGTTAACAACGAGTCATGAGTCATGCAAGGCAAACCATTGGTTGATAATATCCGTACTGTTATGATACGATGATAAACAACAATCAGCCACAAGGTAACCAACCAATCCTCAACTTCTTCTCGCTGCTACAACCAGCATGGGGTTTGGAGGTACCAACTGTCACTGGGGATTCAGATGGGAGCAATTAACATGAATTTACACTTTGATAGGTCTACAAGCAATTAAAACCTGTGGTATCACCTGAAGCCTCCCATTTCCATATTTCAAATATGGGTAGTTGTCAGGAACATGTGACATATACAACCAAGGGAAACAATACCAGCCACAACAATGGAGAATTTTAACCAGCAGACCTAACAAAACTTCACACCCTCTAACAAAGGACGTAATGGCCTTCTGTGGAGAAAACCTGGTTATTTGAGAACTATGTAGACTTGGGGGTATTCATTAACAAGCTAACTATCACTTAAGACAGGGCTTTCGGCATGTGTAAGTGCACTTCACCCATAATTCTCACACCCAATTTTGTAGCAGAGTTGAATAATTCAAATATATATCAAGAAATCATGAATGCTCATTAATCATACATGTACCTTCAAAACTAATAAACTGCCTACTGATAATTTGTGGGAAAACAAGTAAAAATATTTTTGCTAAAATTGACAGGTGAAGACTATTATTTAGATTCTCCATAGTAAGTACAAATTGAGAGACATGAAAGCTACTGAAAATATCCTACATGACTTCCTCCTCAGAGTCTTTGCTACAAATAATAGATTGCAAATGCATCATATAGTCATACAGACCCTGAACAAATATATCCAACAGCCCAAGCAAGTCTATAATAGTGTGCAAGTCTAGTCTCTGAGATACTTTTTATTATATTTTATTAAGATAATCTTGCAACTGCTTTTTCTGTAAGAGATGTTCATTTCAGAGACTAGATGATAGTCTAAATGTATCACAAAGATTTCATGGGCAACAAAATATTGTCCTAGTATATCACAGATCAAAAAAGATCTACGTGTCTTTATCAAACACACACACTACTCAATAAAGCTGAGTCATGACACATTAACTGTATAGTAATATGAAAGAATCGTGTGTTGTTTAACTTCTTTTGAGTCATGACACATTAACTATAGTAATATAAAAGATTCAGGTGTTCCTTAAGTTCTTTTGAGTAGCATATATTTCCTACCGAATAACAAACTTGACTTCAACACATCCTTTTTTCAGCGCGTTTGATACTTGACGAGGATGTTGTGAGCAGGTGCTCCCTGACATTTGTTGCTGGACAAACAGAGCCGGTGATGGGGGAGAACTGGAGACCTGTCGGTCTGTTTATAGGCGACCTAGTGGGCTGGATATATTGTAGCATTATTAGAGAAGAAACGGACAGTTAGTTCAGTTCACCAAATGTCAGCCTGCACTTACATATTGTTATGCACTGGGCTATGTGCTTAAATAGCTGAGGTTGGAATAAGGGATTTAAGTAGAGAGACCCTTTGGAATGTGAGATCTAAGGAAATGTCATGAACAGAGCAGGCTAAAAACATGAACAAATTCAAAATTGTTTCCTAACTACATCAATATCATTCTCTTGTTTGTGAATAATTTGTAAATATCTTTTGGTATGATTATATATTTCTGATGGTAAAAAATGTATGAATAATTTCAATACCAAAACACCCCCAGGTCATCACTGTCAGTCTATTGAGGTTTCTTTCCTGGCATGCAAGAGTTGTCTCCCTGTCAGCTTCATCACACCAGGAGACATGACCATCTGAGACAAACTACTGACAGAAATTGATCCTCTACAGGTAGCCTTGACATCTCAATGCACAATGTCATTAAATTGCTAAATATATGTTTAAAAAAAACCTCAATATTATTTAGTATCTAAAATCACAATGATCACAGCAAATCCGAAATTTCTTATTTAAAACAAAACAATATTGCTATATATTATTGCTTATGTACTCATACAAAATCAGAAAAGGAACATTGAGTGAAGCTTTTCTACTTCCTACACTTCGATCATCTGTCTTAGCTTACTTAATATTGCTGTCCATCAACAGACATTCCTCTTGACCTTTACAGCAGAAAGTTATAATCAATGTGTACCAGGTGGTGTTAAACTGTACCTAACGCAGATAGGAGTAATGATTGTTGTTATATTACAGTCAGCAATATTCCAGTTATATCCCATCAGCAATATTTCAGATATATCACATTAGCAATATTCCAGTCATATCACATCAGCAATTTTCTAGTTATATCACATTATCAATTTTCAAGTCATATCAAATCAGCAAATATTTCAGTTATATCACATCAGCAATATTCAAGTCATATCACAGTCACATGATAGTTACGCAACTTACATACACAATGTTTCAGAGTATATACTTACTCATTCACCCGAGAAGGGTTAAGCATATACTCATAAATGTTGAGTTCCTCATAATAAAGAAGCTGAAATCCACACATTCTCTTCCTCAGTATTCCAGGTATATCACATCAGCAATGCCTCCCACAGATACTGATAAAATACCAATTACGTTAAGCTTAAATTAAGCTTGTATCAAATTGAATCATTAACATTCTCATTATAAAATATTCCCTGATATTAGGAGGGTTAATTAATCATTATTTCATCACAATACACAGAAGACACAATTCATGTTTAGGTCATTTAAACACAGCATGGCAAGTAGATGTAAGCATGGCTACTAAACACAATTTTTAGGAAGATTTAAGAGATTTCCAAAGATTAACTTTTTTCAACACACAGAATATTAAGTTCGACTTTCTCTTTTTCAAACTTAAAACTGCTTTTGTAATTACGTAGATTAGCTCTGCCAGGTATACATACATATATAAAAGTCAAAGTCTCACCATAGGAAAACTGTAGACTGCTGAATAAAATTGCCCCAATATGTTGTGCTTTATTGTTCAAAAGTTCATATTTAATCAAACATCAAATATCAGCATGAGAAAAAAACCACACCAAAAACCAAGATGCAGTTTGCAAAATGACACATTAATTATGGTCAAGAAAATAATACCAATTTTAAATAGTCATCAAGAAAACCATTCCTGACAATCAATCACCTCTCCATTAGAAGCTAGCTCATCCATAAGAAACAGACGAACTCATTCATTTTGTAGACATTGTATGCGTTTCAAACACATTTCCCCCTTTTAATTTTCCATGTCTCACACAAAATGGCTCATCACTCACACACAAAGTTTTTCCATATTGTTTTCATTTTCCCCCAGCTTTGGCCATGGAAATGGAAGAACATGAGGGATATCTATTTTCACAAACATGTATTGGGGTAAATGTCTGTCCTGCCACCAAACTCCCGGAACCAAGGCCTCAGAAACAGAAGACCTATTATGAGATACTTATCATTACTCACTGACAGCTAGGACTTCAAAAAAATTGATTCCTTTAACAGAAAAACAGCCTAGCCTGGGAGGCAGTTGGAACTGCATAGCCTGGGACAGTCAGCTGTCTGTAGGAAATTCAGATTTTTCTGGGAATTTCCATTGATGATGTGTCCGTGTTTGTAATTCCTGGGTCCTCAAGTCATTGGAAGAAGAAGACTGGTTTTGGAATGCTGATAATTTACAATAGACAGCTTTATGCACTGTTTCTCTTAAAACTAATGAGTGTACATCACTTGAACATGTCTGAATGATTCAAATTAATGTCATCTGACGAGTCAGCCAATAAAATCACAATAAGGGTTAATCAAAAATGCTAACAATCTAGTTTAGAACTCATAAAAACCAACGCACATATCACCCCAAATGAAAACTCCATGAAAAACAGACTCCGTAAAGATTGCAATTTTATCATATTACTAAAATCATTCAAGACTTTTCCATTCCATGCATTATTATTAACAGAACGAAGATCTTTTAAAAATGACAGAAACTTGCAAGGATGTTTTGTATTTTTATGCAGAATTTCAGTACACTCAGAAAACAGAAACTGCCGACATTGTTTCTTATTTAGGTAATAGTTCAGAGCTGCATTATCAGACTGAAGACTGCCATTTCAATGTTCATACTAAGGCTTCTAGATAAGATAAGATAAGATAAGATAAGATAATATTTATTGCAGAAACGTTCCATTACGGGACAGATGCAATTTTAAAAGACAAGACAAGAGAAGTTGTTCTATTTGAACAACACAGACATCACTAGACAACTGTCCTCTGCTGGATATTCCACCAAATCTCTCAGCCATACACTCTGGTGTCTTACATTCCGTGCTGCCCTACTTGTTCAGTCTTGCAAGTGCCCACATATCAATATCACTCCACATAACATTTGAACCTAAATCTACCACTCAATCTCATGTTGTAAACAATTACCAACATAAAGAGATGCTATCCTAAAATGTGAGTTGATTGATTCTGTAGACGGTACACTTTTATACTTTCTGTGTGTCAACTTTAGATGTTTTATGTTGAAAACTTGCAGATTTAATATAGCATTAAAAATACTGTGTACTTTCTTGTCGATTATCGACAATTCACATTCTGAAAACAAGTAATTTAACTTTCTGAAAATAGTACATGTATCATGTATTTTTTTTCTTCATACACAATTTCATTTCTGGTTTCTTTTGGGTGGGGTGGGTTGGGGGTGGGGGGTAGTTTCTGAACCTGGAGAACAACATAATTACCACCTAGCTTTAACACAGTTGTACATTACTGCACGGATTACTTTCTGGCACAGCAAGTCTAGATGTGGAGACAAACAGCAAGTCTAGATGTACCACCTTTTGCTTCAATCCTATAAACAGGGGACACACAGCAAGTCTAGATGTGCCACCTCTTGCTTCAATCCTATAAACAGGAGACAAACAGCAAGTCTAGATGTGCCACCTCTTGCTTCAATCCTATAAACAGGAGACAAACAGCAAGTCTAGATGTTCCACCTTTTGCCTTAATTCTCTTTACAGGAGACACACAGCAAGTCAAGATGTGCCACCTTTTCCTTCAATCCCATTCACAAGGAGCACACATCAAGTCTACATCTACCACCTCTTGCTACAACACTATTTGGAAGGCGCACATAGCGCTGCCTCTTGTTATGTGGCAATGGTATTCCGATGCTTCCAGCCATCTTGTAGGGATGAATCCATGCAAGGCACATCAGTGCCCGCTCTGCCACCTGATCCAGCAGCCCCCCTCCACCCTTCCTCCATACAGGCAACCAGGGACATTCTCCACAATACTATGTCACAGTGGCTTTGTCAAGTAAATTGGACGTCCTTTCAAGTCAAATGGAATTTCTAGGAGCAGAGCGAGTCTAGCAGTCAGCAGATGCTTAATGTCCACCTATGTTTATGACAGAGACAAGATGGCTGACACCAAGGGGTGGTGGGTAGTCTGGGAGTGAAAATGGTCTCTCATCCCACAGAACATCTCCATGTGGGTATTAATTGGGAAATCATGTCTTAGTGAACGCTGTAGCAATATTGATGGAAAAAAATAATCACTCACTCACTCACACATCCACATCATTTCCTGGTGTACCTGATTGTGATAATGTTGGGATATTGCTGAGCATGATGTAAAAATTCACTCACTCACATACTGCTGAGGGCCACTCACCTAAAATTTTAACTTCAAAGGAGACAAGATCAAGTCTATATTTCAGGTCTGAAACACGTGGCCACACATGGTCACAAGTTCACCCATACCACCAGTCCAAGAAATTCTAACACATGCTGCTGTAACAAGAACACATCTTTATCCCTAGGACAATTCCCAACAAAGGAGCCCACAGCATATCCACCTATGCTGCTGTTACAAAAACAGTTCTTCATCCCCACAACAATTCCCAGAAGCCCCAGCATGTCTACCCTCGTTGCCATGTGGCAGTGATAAGCCTCCATCATCTCCCTGTCTGAGCACAAGGCCACTTCGGTCTTTGCATCAGGAGTATGTAGGTCGTTACAGACCGGTGCAGTGTGGCGCCCCCCCTACAATCAGCTGGCCGGCCCCCACCTAGCGGCTATTAACCTCCAATCTTGGACAAATACAACACTCGCTCTCACAGTCATCATTTCAACCATGTGCTAGTTCACCCAACCACCAACCCCCTCGTGTAAGTACTGACGCTCTTCTCCATCAGGACGCCCATTTCACTGCCTCAGCAACCCTGGTCCCGACTCCTAGAGCCACCAACAGTGTATCTCTCTCTGCCTCTCCCCTGACACAGACAGACACAGCCCACTCGCCTGTCCTCTATGCCTGGACCCACCATCAGTTGGTGTCACCCTACCCAACACCCCATCTTCTACTCCCAGACCACACAACACTTGACATCACCCCGTCTCCAATACCACCCCCACCATCAATAGGTACTGCCCCTCCAATACCACCCACACCATCAAAGGGTACTGCCCCTCCAATACCACCCCCACCATCAAACACTTAGTGGAATAAGGGTCTCTGAAATCCTCAAAGTGAGGAACAGCTAACTGCATTCCAGTCCCCCCAAAACTCCCGCTATCAGCAGGGGTCCTCTTGCCAGCTTCCCTGGGGTGTCACATCTGATTAATGACCACAAGCTCTTCTGTAGCAGACGACATGTATGTGAGTCCAGAAAATAATTGTCCTCTTTTAAAATATTGATATTTGGTTATTTTAAACTACTTTCGAAACATTTAAATGTTCAGCAGATAAAAAAAAAAGATATTGGTCAACTTGTAGACAACCCATTTAAATTTAAATTTATTATGCGTAACACAATGGCCTTATAAATGCTTTCAAAAGCAGGCAAGACATATTACAAAGTATAACTCTTCTGCCATGTAACATTTATCTTGTCAGTTGTGTACGAAAATATCAAAAGTACAGTAGATATTGATGAATAATTAAAACAAATGTTCATAATTAACAAATCAAGTGGGTTTTTTACATGAAGCAGAAACAGTATATACTAACTGGATTCAACATTTGACATAATAAGAAATATCTTTCAAGGGCTATAAGCGTGTTCATAAACCTGCAGGTGCAATAGACTTCATGTTACTTCCCAGTACATGTGGTGCACGTGGTCTTCTGGTGACATTCATGTAGATGTGAGAAGTTCAGTTAAAACAAACTACATGTATATAGAAATAGTTTCATCTTGGTTTTCCTTTCATGTAAATACCATAGTCATCCCTATTTCTTCTAACTTTGATGGCAAAGAGTATTTAAAACATAAATAAGTACAAAGTAACAAATGTCATATTTGGGATAAAACTTTCTCTGTAAAGTGCAAACCCTAGTAATTTTTGGAGTTGAGTCCCATCTGGGACAAAAATGGAAGTTTGACAAATGGTACTCACAAGCTTCGTGTACCACTCTGACAAGTGTATATTGGCACGGGTACAACTTTGCAATATATTCGCTACTTATTAAACCCACTAATTATATAGTTTAAATTTTTACCCATCATATTATTCTCAAAAAGGTTTGAGGAACCATTCTACATTGCTACGTTAGATTATGAGGAGGTTATTGAGGCATATAATATCTCCTTTTAATAATCTGAAGTGGCAGTCAAACATAACAAATGTTATATTTGGGATAACACTTTCTTTGCAAAGTACAGTTTCTCCGGGATTCAAACCCACACTGCCAGAGTGACGCACCAATCGCCAGCACACAAAGTCAGCGATCTAACCCACTCAGCCACCGAGGCTTCCACAAAAATGAAAGTCGGACAACTTGTCTAGATCACGTACTTTGAGTACCCCCCTGACAAGTGTAAATTGGCACTGCTCCCATGGCCGAAAGCTATGAACACACAATGTCATTTAGAAAGTGGTCAAATGTAACAAATGTTATATTTGGGATAACGCTTTCTTTGCAAAGTACAGATTCTCGTACTTTTTCGGGCTGAGTCCCGTCCAGGATTCGAACCCACACTGCCAGAGTAAGGCACCTAATCGCCAGCACACAAAGTCAGCGATCTAACCCATTCAGCCACCGAGGCTTAAACAAAAATGGAAGTCCGACAACTTGCCATGGGAGCCCTGCCAATATACACTTGTCAGAGGGGTACACAAAGTATGTGATCTAGACTATCAGTTGACTACCAGTGTTATCCCAAATATAACATTTGTTACATTTGACCACTTTCTAAATGGCATTGTGTGTTCACGGCAGTCAAACAGTTTTGAACATTATTTGTAGTGGCGAACATATTGTAAATTTGCTCCAGTATAAATCCATTTTTCAATTTTTCACTGAAAGAGCAAGTTGAACAGAATACTACTAAAACACTAGTCTGCCTCACAGAATCTCAAGCTTTTTAGTTTCCTTTCTGCCTTTCCCTTACTAAAATGCTATAGCCCTAAAACATGAAGCAAGTGTAAATTTTTCTAAAAGCTGAATCTCTCATCTCAGTGTGGCTCTTTTTCAAGTTATTGGCGTTATTGGTTTCTATCAAATTTATAAAGACTAAGGGTTAGTCTACTAACATACCTATGAGTATGAACCTAACCCAAAACTACCATCATTAGTAATGGCTAATGAATTACCTAATTGGGTTTAAACCCGATATATATAAATGCTTACCACATTGAACATGATTTAAATATTGGTCAAGGGATGTCAGTTTCCAGTGAATAGACACTTTATTATGATTATTACCTCCAAAACGTTTTTCAAAGAGTTGATTTGGTCACTGTAGTTTCACTGTTTTGTCTTGGAGAGTTATGTTTCAATCCTTGAGTGTCAAGCTGGCCCATGCCATCAGTGCCCTAAAGTAAACAAACTTGGACCAGCTTGCCCATGCCTGCTTCACTGGAGCAGGGGAACAACTGATAAGATCATGGCTAAAGAGTATCAGATTCAGTGAGAGGGGGGATGCTGACAGGGAGAGTTTGGGCTTGTGCCACTAACTGCAAAGGGTACCGCCCCTCCAATACCACCCACACCATCAAAGGGTACCGCCCCTCCAATACCACCCCCACCATCAATAGGTACCACCCCTCCAATACCACCCCCACCATCAACAGGTACTGCCCCTCCAATAACCACCCCCACCATCAATAGGTACCATCCCTGAGGGACAGAAGCACAGGGTCTGAATAGAAATGATGAATTAAAGAAGCAGGAGATATTCATCCCTTGCAAGATGATTGCATCTTTCTGGGAGACCATGGTCTCTGTTCATTGTCGCCTTCTTCCTCTGATCATGGCAGTGTAAACAGAGACTCTAGCTGTAATAAGGAATATATGTCGCATCATTGAACAGATTCAAAATACTTTTTTAAATTTCTTGAATAATTTACAGATCGAAATTCTCCAATATACAAAATGACTTTGACATATTGTCTCGCACATAAATGAATTTAGTGAACAATTCTTATGAGAAATGTTGAGACTTGCTATCTGTGTGTATTCGTTCCTGGCCATGGGGTGCTGAATGTGGTGTGCTACACAGAAACAACAAGGTGCTTGAGTAGGCAAAACATGATATTCATATGAAATTCCACTTTTTAAACACAAAGTTTGAAGTTTATATATTGGCCCATGGATACAAGAAACAGTCTTGACCTTCTACAGTTTGATAAGCATTGAGCTACTTAATTCAAAAACTTTACATTGTATCCACTAAATAGGAAATGTTTGTTTATCAAAACATATTACACATATGAAGATCTGGGTTACAACTGGTCTTCAGCAACCCATGCTTGTTATAAGAGGTGACCAACGGGATCTGGTGGTCAGACTCTCTGACTTGATACATGTCATCATATCCAAAATGCTCATGATGTCAGTCACTGGTTTCATGGTCCAGTTTTGATTATTTACAGACCCCAATCATACAGGTTAAATACTGCTGAATGCAGCATTAAACAAGAATCATCCATCAAGCCCACAAACAAAAGTATTTCTGTTTCAGGATACATGTCCTAACAATTTCAAGCTGGGAGGTAAAAAAAACAATTTTTAAATAATATTAGATTTGCTCAGCTGTTTACAAATGTGACAAAAATATTCCGGGATCCAAGTTCCTGATTGGCTTCCTAAGTATTTGAAGGGCCTTGTAGAATGTACCGATAATCTCGTGTTTGTGTTCTCCGTTATATATGTAGTATTCAACCAGGTGACCTGTACAGATAACTACTGGCTCCTACAAGGTAGTGTGGATTTATTGGGTCAACAACAAGTTTATAACTTAACGCATTATATCCACTGACACTCCACAGCCAGGCAATACACCAACAGCCAGTTGTCTGGTGTAAAGGGTTAAGATAGTTAAATTTATTACCTAACAAACTCAACATACTCACTGATATATACATAGAAATGAGAGATATTGTCGAGGGATGAGGTCGTTGAGTGTACAGCAGAGTTGTCTCCCCACTGAGACTCGGACAGCCAGTGTGTACACGTACCATTCCCAGACATCCAATCGCAATAAATTACATGTCCCTGCAACCATGTGCATTTAAAAGCATATAATAAGAATTTTTACGACCAATAGACTCTTATGCAAACATAAAACGGACTCAATAAAGTGGTATTATGCACCATGATGTTAGTGGCTCCTGTTGAAATACATAGTCTGATTACGTTTTTGTGGAGTTTGTGGGAGAGATTATGTCGTAATTATTCAAGCAATATCGTGGCATTTGTGAAGATGAACGAAATTTGCCTGTGTTCCAACAATGGAATTGAACTCCATTTTAAGACAAGATAAAGGGTTGTGGGATAGCCCAGAGGTTAAAGCACTTGCTCATCACGATGAAGACCCAGGTTTTATTCCCATGGGTGCATGTCTCGTGTCCACAACCACGGTTGGTTAAAGGGGCCTGAGAGCTCACTCACTCACTCACTCACTCACTCAGCAAGAAAATAGAACAGTGAATGTAATCATAGTAAGTACGTCATAAGGCTTCAAGACCCAATGCACTATACACCATACAAGCAAGAAATGACAAGAACTATAGTCACGTGAAAACATTGGTTGTTTTTAACTTCCTTTGCCAAGTATATGTGTGCATAATT